ATTACAAGCTGCCAACTGGCCAGTGACCTGTAATTAAAAAGCAGGCAAGAAGCTTTTCAGCGGAGCCTTGGGCCCCCGCCTCCCCCCAAGTCTGCCTCCCCTCCCTGCACAGGAAACAGAAGGGCCTCTTGGGAAGGGGAGAGGGGTCCACGCCAGCCGTGGGGCAGAGCAAAGGCACTCTGGCCCCGGCCTTGGCCAAATCAGGGGCCAGCCGCGTCTTGTGCACAGGACGGGTGGGCGACCTGGCTGGGAAGAGCCCCAGGGCCAGGGCCACCAGCCTCTGGGTCTCGTGCTCCGTGGGGCTTGGCCTGTACTCTGGGAAGGGGCCTTGAGGGCCTGCCCTAGAAAAACTCTGCGGGGCATCTAATGGGGTGCGGGGGCTCCTTAGCCTCCCTCGAGCTGGCCCTTGTGTGGGCAGGGCCTGCGGAGAAGAGAGCCTTGTGGCTTGTGGGTGGATTTTGCCAGGCGTCCGTCCGCCCTTCCACTTTCTCTGCAGCCTGAGTCACAGCCGCCCCCTCGAGGAGGAGGAGGAGGAGGAGGAGGAGAAGCGCTGCAGAGAGGGTCGCCTGGGCCTCCCGCTCGGGTGCTGCCCCTCTGCCTCTGCCCCCCCCTCTTTTTTGGGGGAGCGGCTTGACGTGGGACCCTTTCTGTGCTTCTCAGAGCTAAGGCTCTCTCTCCCCACCACCACCACCCCATGCCTCAGGCTTTCCTCAGCTGGAGGGGGGGGGCGTTGCTCCTGCCCTGCTTAGCTTTTGCTTTTCTTTTGCTTTTTTCAGAAGGGGTTGAGTTCCCCTCCAGGGTGGCCTTTCCCCCGGTGAAGTAGGATTCTGGATGTCCTTGCGTCAAGGGGGGGAGGGAGCGTGTCCTTGATGGCTGTCGGGAGGCCTCAAATCCTGGCACCGCAGCTTTGCTGGCCTGACCAGCCTCCAAGGAGGGCGAAGGGAGGTGCAGCTCCCCCCCCCAAAGGGTCCCTTGCCCTCAGCCCAGCCAGGTCATTCCAGAAGCCACAGGCAGGACGTGGGCCGTGTGGGCAGGGGGAGGTGGGAGGAAGGCAGTGGGCAGCAGGGCAGCTGAACACACCAGCAAGTCCCACAGATCTGAAGATCCCCCACCATCAGAGGCCTTCTCATGAGACAGGCGACCCGCAAGCAAGCTGGACCCTTGCATTCCAGGGCAGCGGCTGCAGCTGGGAACCCCTCTAGTAGTGCTGGGCTGGGCTGGGCAGACCTCTGCGAGTAAAGTGAAATGCCCGGCCATTCCAGGGCATCCGGGCTCCCTCGTTGCCCAGTGTCCCATTACTGCAGGGCACTCACTGCTGCAGGATTCCCCTGGGGCGGCTAGCTCCTCGCCTGTCCTTGGGGCATTCTCCCGGGGGCAGGGGAGGTCGGGGGCAGGCTTGACACTCCTGCTGAGAGAACCGGGGTCCTGTGGAACCTCTGCTGGGGGTGGGGGAGGTATGGCTGCTCCTCGACCCTTTTAGAAAGCCTGCATTCTCACAAAAGGCGCCCAAGGCAGAGTTCCAGGCATTGGCACAGATCCCTCCCTTCTGACATGCAGGTACCCTGGGACCTGAACAGACCTGAACGGGAGGTCGCACTCCGGCAGGTGACGGTGCTCCTCCTCCTTCTCCTCCTCCACTGAGTTCTGTCCCAGCCATACTGCAACCCTAAAATGGTAGCAGTGGCCATTCTTCCTCCACCAACACATGGACGGCCGGCTGCTATTTTGGATTTTTATTTCAAATATTTTTACCCTGCCTTTCTCCTTAAAAAGAACCCAAGGCGCTTTACATCATTAAAAGACGCTTTTTCAAGCTAAAACAATGAGTATTAGAAAGGTGGCTTGCATCAATAAAAGATAACCTTTAAAGCTAAAAACAATAAATATACAAAAATTTAAAAAATTTCTCTGGTTGTGGCTGGCAGAGGAGCCCGGCCCTTTTTAAGAAAGAAGATCTGGGAAGCTCTCCATCTGTTGGGCCCTGCATGCAGCTGCCCCAAGGCTGCTGACTTTTAGGGTTCAGTAGGCAAAAAAGTTTTGGCGAGGAAAGGAATTGATAAGAGCCCCCCAGTCACACCCCGTCAGTCCCTGGCTTTCTGAGAGCAGATTCCTCTCCCCCCCCCCGCTGTCCGTCTGCAGGAGGTAAGCTTTGCATCCTTTGAGCTGCAGAATGTGGGGGCCGGTGGGCTCGGAGGACAGCCTGTGACCCCCGTATTCTCTGGGGGGGGAGCAAGGAGAGGTGTGTTTGAAGGGGTTCACCTCGAATGGGTTGGGAGCTGTGCAGAAGCCTTGCGCTGTGATGACCTCCCCCCCCCCCGCATGTGGGGCAGCTGCCGGCCTCGTCCTCCCCCTGTGTGCTTCCTACAGTGCTATTTTGGGATCCGCAGCTCCAGTTTTGCAGTGAATAGAAGTTTTTTTTTCTTCTTTTCCCCTTTTCCTCCCTGGCCCAGATTGTGCCGGGGAGGCCTCAGCCAGCCAGAGAACCTTTCCTGAACAGCTCCGTTGACCTTGTTATGTGGAAGGTTTTACCCTGGGGGGGGGTGTGGGTTGGGGGGTTTGGGCTTTGTGCCCTGGTGGGTAGCCAAGGCCTTCTTTCCCCTTGCCCCTTTCTGTCCTGCCAGCCCCTTCCTGCTGTTTTGATTTTCCAGGCAGGAAACTGAGGCAGCCCTGGCCATTTCTGCTGGCCTGTTCCTGCTCGGGCTCCCCTTGGCACCCATCCTTTCCTGGGGCAGAGCCGCAGGGCCACCTCTCCCCAATGATAGGCAGGCTCTCCCCCTGCCGCCCCACCCCCCCACTTTCCCAAGAACCCGGCCACCAGTGGAGGTAGTAGAGGCAGCCTCTGGCAGGGCTTCCCCTTGTATGGCCGGGGGCGGCTGGAGGGGGGGGGGAGCCCTGTCGCTTGTGGCTTTGAGCCATGAAGTCTTGCCCGGGTTGACTTTTCACGATGTTCTCTTCCGGGAAGCCCCCAGGCGACAGCCACACCCACATGCCCCTTGCACATGTACCCCCACGCCCCATAGAAAGTACTTGCAGGCAGGCATACTGTGCCTGCCTGGGGGGGGCCAGCGTACCCCTGGGGCTTCCTGCGGACTCCAGACCTTGACTGCCACCAGCTTTTCCAAGAGCTTTCGGAGGCTCCAACAGGCCCGTCTGTTTTCCTGCCACCGTCCCCCCCCTCCTCCTTTCCACCACGGCTGGCGTTTCAAGAGGGCTACAGGGAGGTCGCGCCCTCTCTTGGGGTCTCTCTGGGGCCAAGGTCTCCCTTGAATCAGGATAGATCCTGCTGTGGCCGATGACGGAGGCTGCAGGCGCTCCTCCTGGGAGGCCCCACGCCCTTGCCGTGGCCCGAATACAGCAGCTATTAATACTGGGCTCAGGAGAGCTGTCCCGCCCGCAGAGGAGAGCGTGGAGGCGGAGCACAGTTGTGGCCGCCCCCACCACCCAGCGGCCCCCCCCCAGGCCGGTCAAGGTGAGGCTGCCCCTCTTTGGAAGGCCTCCGCTGGAGAGAGGGAGAGAGCCAGGGTCCCAGGGCAAGGGCGACCTAGAGGGGTCGGCTTCTTGCCTTGGCCGTCAGCATCGCTCAGAGTGCCCTTCCAGGGACTCCTTCCCTCCCTCCCTCCCCCCCTTCGCTGTGTCTTGCCCCCCTGCAAACACACACACACACACAGAGACCCGCTCCCGCTCTTCCCACGGCGGCTCATCTCAGCCCCCAACAGCAGGTAGAAACGGGGGCCGGCCGAGGCCAGCGCCCTCAGGCCTGTCCTCAGGCTAACAGGTGTCCCAGGGACCCTTGGGATCCTGCAACCCCCCCCCCNCCTGCGGCCCTCTCCCTGAGACCTAAACAGGAAAAGCCCAGGCAGGAGCTTCTGGGCCAGGAGCCGACCATCAGCCCCTCTCCTTGGCACATACCTTTTGCCGTGGGGGGGGGCTTCCTTTCTTCCCACCCCCACCCAGGCTCTCACAAGGGATCTGCTGTGCTTGCTTCAGGGGGTCAAAGGCAGGCCCGAAGGAGGTGTGGGTGAGGTGAGGGGCAAGGGGCTCTCCTCTCTCCTCGGCAAGCGGTGGGGCTCAGGGGAGGAGGGAATGGCCGTGAGTGTGTCGGAAGTCTGCTTGGAAGGGGTGCGTCTCCCAGTCCTTCCTTTCCCCCCCCCCGCCGCCCCCCTGGTCTGCTGTGGGGCCAGGTGCCTCTGAGCGTGTGCAAGCTCTCTTCCCATACCAACATTCTGTACAGCAGGAACCCGAGAACCCTAGAAACACTCATGTTGGAAGAGGGTCCCCAAAGGCCATCCAGTCCAACCCCCTTTTCTGTCCAGGAATACAAATCCAAGGCTACCTGCCAGGGGGTGGTCTAAATTTCTCGTGAAGGGCTCCAGGACTGAAGCACTCGCCACTTCTCGAGATCATGGGTTCTGTCATCATAGCGCTCTAAGAGTTGAGAAGTTTTCCCTGAGAGTCAACCGAAATCTGGCCTCTTTTAACTTGAGCCCACGGTTGTGTGTCCTGCACCGTGGGAGGATCAAGAACAGATCCTGGCCCTCCTCTGTAGGGCAGCCTTTCAAGTACGCTCTGAGGGAGGGTTTGGATGCCCCCCTCACTGCCTTTCCAGGCTGGGAAAGTGGTGGGCACCAGCCACACCCCCTCCTCTTTCTGCCTGACTGGGGGCAGCCCACTTTGCCCACCACCAAGGCCTGAAATGCTGGATGGGGGAGCCTCTTCCAGCACAGAATTGGCCGGGCCTGGCTTGGTTGTCCTGCTTCTTCTGATGGCCCGTGCAGGGTTGTGGCGAGTCTCGTCACCCGTTCCCTTGGCCCGCTGATGCTTCTCCTGCTCTGGTCACAGGCCGAGGCAGGGCGCCTGACAAACAGCAAGGGAGCGGCTGTGTGAGAGAGGAAGTCTTCTAAGACTCTGGGTGGCGACTCTCTCTAAGTCTTTTACTTAACTTGCTTCTTCCTCTCTCTCTCTCTCTCTCTCTCTCTCTCTCTCTCTCTCGTCTATCTCTGCAGGACCCAGCTGGCATATTTGAACTGGTCGAAGTGGTTGGCAATGGGACCTATGGGCAAGTTTACAAGGTGAGTAGGGGTTCTGGGCCCCAGACAGTTGGAAAACCGCCCACCCCAGGGAAAAGCTGGATTTGTCAGGTCTGGCTTTCGTTGCTTGTCTGTCCTCGTCCTGACGGCCAAAGTCATTCCTTTTATTTCCCGTGGCTTCCCACTTCTCTCCCAGGAGCCTCAAGGCAGCACGTATTCTTTCCCTGCTTCCCGGTTGTATCCTCACAAGAGCCCTATGAGGTGGGCCAGGCGGAGAGGGTGAGCACGGCATAAGGTCACGCAAGGGACTGCCACGGCTCAGTGGGATGAGCAGCTGGCTCTCGCCCTGTTCTCCCCTTCCACTGTTCCCTGGGTTGGCTTACACACGGTTAAAGTTGCAGCGGATCACAGGATGTTAAGTAGTCAGCAGAATGAAAAGCCCCACGCAGAGGATTAAAAAGCCCAGGCAGGGGCAGGACAGCACACACTTTGTCTGAGGCTGAAATGAGATCAAGAGGATACCTGCCCCCACTCCCTGGGGAGGGGAGATTCCCCCCCCCGGCCACAACTGAGGTGCCCCTCTTTGTTCCCATTCCTGCCCCTTCTGGGTGACCCTGGAGTTGGCGCATCAAAGGGGGGGGGGAGAGGAACCCAGCTACAGCTTTGGCTTGTTCCCAGGCTGTGGGACTCCCTGCCAAGGGCAGCTCTTTGCCCCCCCATCATAAATAAGCCCCCTGTCCTTCCGCCCCCATCCTCTTGGCAAGGACCTGGCCACCACGGAAGGGTTTTTCGTAAGGGTGGGTTTGCCGCACTTTTCCCTTTTCGGTGCGCTCTTAAGTAGTGCTGTGGTCACTGGTTGTTTCAGTGTGCTGTGAACTGTTTGGCTGGGTTTTCACACTGCCGCACGTGGGATCCCGGTTGTGGCTGTTGCTTGGTCCTGATCCATGAACAAAGCATATGGAAAGCTGGCCAGAAGGGATCCGGTGGCTCTTTCTACTCAGGAGTCCACCCTGCTTTGAAGGATGTGGGGGGACGGAGCGGGTTGGGGGGGGGAAGTGGCCTCTAGCTCCTGCCGATGGGTGTTCAGGGGACGTTCCTAGCTGGCTGCATCTGGAAAGAAGCTCTGGAGGAGAGCCCCCTTTGCTCTGCTCCCCCTTTCAGGCTCCTCTGCTGTTTTCTTGAGTATCTCCATGACTGGCTGGCTCAGGGAAATGTTGCGTTTTTATCTGCAGTGTTTGTCAGTGTAAAGGGGAGGGCTTTCTCTTAAAAAGAGGCCTGGGGATATTTACAAATGACCAGAATTGGGTGCCTTTAATAGGAGGAAGGCATCTTAAAAATGGAACAAATACGTGAATGATAAAAGGCTTGAAAAACTAAAACTGCAATAAATTAGAGTGCTGAAATGGAATTAAATTTAGAAATATTATGAGGCCCTCGTTAAGAATAGCGTAAGGCTAGTTAAAAGCACAGCAGAAGCCATGTCGTATCATGCTTCCCCCCCCACCCCCCAAAAAAGCCCTTTCTCACAAGGACATGCAGTTTGTAAAAGGAGCCTTGGCTGGGCATCTTCTTGAGGGTTAGGGGCTCTCTGTTCAGTGGGGGGGTGGGCAGGAGAGGGCATGGGCCCCCCCAGGCTCAGTGACTGGGATGCTCTGGTCTCTGGCCTTCCTAATCCATGCCCTTTTGGCGGGGAGTGGGGCCGGGAGAGGCTGGCCTCCTCCTCCTCCTCCTCCAAGCACCCTGTTCTCCCTACTTGGGACTTGTTGGTAGAGAGGGGGAACAGCCCTGGGCGGCCCATCGGGACCTCCCCTCGTCCCTAGGGAAGGCCAGGCCTCTCCCTCCTGACCCCTAAGGAGTGATTGGACGTCTCGGGACTCCCTCCCACGGCGCCACCCCCTCTCCCTGGCGCTGCCAGCGGCCTCCGGGGTCCTTTGCCCAGAGAGGGGCACCCCTTTCCTCCCGGCCCCCTTGCTCCCGGTTCAGCCTGGGGGCTTCTCCCTTGTTGTCCTTGAAGAAGAGCTGCCGACGCCCCAGGGCCTCAGCATCCAGACTTGGAGCCTGGCCGGACCTGCCCTCCTCCTGCCCTCCATGTGATCCAGGCTGGGTTGGGGCCCTCACCGTCTCCGGCCATTCGCCCTGCTAGCTGGGAGGGGGGGGGGTCATGCCAGTGAAGTGAGTCTCCATAGTTTGCGCCTGCCTCTGAGTGCATCTCTGGCAGGCCGTTGTCTGTGCTCCTGCCTCCCCCCGGCCCCCCTCCGCCCAGTCAGAAGGGCCTTCCTCATGTGCAGGCGCAGAACCCCTTGGGGTGGAGATGGACCTGCTGCAGAAATCCACTCACCCTCCAGCCCCACAACCCTGAAGGGGGGGGAGGCTTGTAAGTACCTCTCAGACCTCCCTGCAAAGTGCTAGCAAGCTGGACCCATCCCGTTCCCCCCCCACACACACAGCCAGTAGAGAATTTTGGACAGCAATTGGGGGGGGCACCACTTTTCCTCTTGGCCCCCACAGAGCGGAGGTATGGCTGGCAGCCTTTTTCCTTGCCCCAGGTGTGAGGAGGAGGAGGAGGAAGGAGTCTTGGGTGCGATGTCCAGTGTGTAAGGCTAAGAGGGTGAAAGTGCTGTTGAGCATGTGCAGAGAGCCTCCCTGGCTACTGAGCGGGTGCATTTCTCTGAGCAAGGCCACCAGCTCTCCCAGGGGCCTCTCTGGGCATTCCTAGGGAAACCTGCCCCAGGTGGGTTTTTTCC